AGGACATCAGGCTTCACTCTGAGGGAGATGGGGAGCTTGTTCTGGACAGTATGAAGGGTAAACTGAGGGAGGGGCCTACAGAGCCAGGACCTTCCTCAGTGCTCTGGACGTTTCAGGAGAGGAAGAGGGTGGGGAGAGGGCTCAGCAAGTTGGGGAACCAGTGGCTTGGTGACAAGGCCAGGTGGAGGCTGGCTGTGTTTTAGGGGTGTCCAGTGCCTCATCCTAAGAGTACCCTGACCTCCTTGGAGGAGATCACCTCATGCCTGCTTCCCTCAAGGAGAGCCAAAGGGGTCACATCCTTCCCAGCTTGCCCCAGCCTGGAGGGACAGGAATGTGGTGTCCCCTGGCCAACTGGCTATTCTTGTCCAGGGCTTTGGCTCCTGAGTGAGCTGAGGACATTGGTGGTGACAGGTCCTTTACAAAAGCAGGTGCAGCAGGGGTGGCTGAGACCTGGGGTCCTGGCCATGCCCAGAGCCCTCACTTCCTGACTTTTCCAAGCCTGGTTTCCCCATCTACTATCTGTTGTGTGAGCTCTCCCCACTGTGGGCTTCCATTAAATTCCCCTCTGCTTAAAGTAGCGGGAGCCGGTTTCCTGCTCCGAGACACAAGAATGGGCCTGAGTCAGCCGCTCATCTGCCAGCCGGCCAGGGAGTCAGCCAGAGTCTCTGCGGTCTGCTCCTCATAGTGCATCTTGCACCTGATTCATTCCCCTGACCTCTCTCCAGATCTGCATTTTCTCACTCTTGGGCAGCTGCAGCTGCTTCCAGCCTGGACTACCTCCCAGCTCTCTACATCCTAAGTTCCCTTACGTATCACTGTTGGACTTTTATCCTGAGACTTCCTGCTCAATAAGTTCATGTGGCTCCCCACTGCCCAGAGGTCAAGTCCAGTGTCCATAACCTTCTGTAGTCCGGCCCTGCCCCCGCCACCTGACTGGAGAAGCCCTGTGTTCTCCTTGAGGGGCTCCAGGCAGGCCACCTTGCGGCCTTCTTCTGATGGAAAGCCTGTCCTAAACCTTGGTGAGAGTTCGGGGTGGGGGTTGGCTCTCTGGATCAGGGTCAGTGCCCCAGGCACCTCCCTTAGTTTGGGGCAGTCACTGACCCCCCCGGGGTTGCTGCCATCTTTGGAAGGCCTGGGCTGGGTCAGGTGGCTGCTGTCACTCCTCTCAGTGGAACGGATGCTCTGCAAAGGCCCTCCTGACTTTTGTTCACTTCTTCCCTTTGTGAGGTCCAGCCCTGGCAGAGGTCATGGAGAGACCAGCCAAAGTCCCCCTTTCTCCACATCCTGCCTTCATCATTGCAACCCCATGAGCCAGGGGGGCACAGGCAGCTTGCACTGTGGAACTTCAGGAAAAAGGAGGCATTGATGCCAGGCCCACAGAGGCACAGAGCTCTTCCTTGGCACTTGCTGTGTGGACAAAGGCCCGGCCAGTGTGTGAAGTCCAGGGTCCTGTGATGCCTCGGGCCCTGCCTGTGTGAGTAGCTGCCTGCAGGGCCTCCCGCACCCTGTGGCCACATCACCTCCTGACCACTGCAGGCAACCGACCGAGCTCTTGTGTAGGTGCGTACTTACCCTGGGCTGTCTCTCCAGCTTACAAGAATGGCCCCCTTTCAGGTCATTGTTCTGAGCTGTCTAGACCCATCCACGGTTTTAGCACAGGGCTCTCAGGAGTTAAACATGCCGTGAAACATGCCCCACTTCCCAGGATATAATTAGACCAGAGTCCTCTCCCTGGGGGAGTGTGTGTGTGTATGAGAGAGAGAGAGAGAGAGAGAGAGAGAAAGAGAGAGAGAGAGAGACAGACAGACAGATGGAGGAAGGGAGGGGAAGGGAGGGAGATGGAGATTGGCTGAGGGCCTGCCTCCGGTTCAGGGCTTGTCACCCATGAGCAGCTTGGCTCCCTGCCATGCTCTCTCGCCTCTTGCCTCTTGCGATTGGCAAGATACACGGAGGAAGGCTCCTGCAGAGCAGGCAGACAGGCAACGCTGCTTAGGGGGATGCTGGCCCAGAGGCCCAGGCCTACCCACCCTTCACTGTCCTGGCTCCCAGATCCTCCTTACCCTTTGCTGCAGGGCTCACCCATCCCTACTGGATTAAGCTGTGTCCCCGAAAGGCCAGTCCGGGACATTTTTCCTCTTGGTATTTGGGCATGCTCACCTGTGGACTGTTTTTGAGAACAAATTTTAAGCATTAATAGCCTTTTTTTTTCTGATAAAGTAATAGAGAAAAACATTTAAAAAAAGAGACTAAATCTCCCTGCTTTGTTTTGTTTTGAGGGGGCTCTGTCGCCCAGGCTGGAGTATACTGTTGTGATCTTAGCTCACTGCAGCCTTGACTTCCTAGGCTCAAGGGATCCTCCCACCTCAGCCTCTAGGACTAAAGGCATGTGTCACAACACTCAGCTAATTTTGTTTAGTTTTTGTAGAGAGGAGGTCTCACTATGTTATCCAGGCTGGTCTCAAACTCCTGAGCTCAAGCAATCCTCCCACCTTGGCCTCCCAAAGTTCTGGGATTACAGGCAGGAGCCAAGGTGCCTGGCCTATTGTTAGTTTTTTAGAGTGTGACTGTAGTATTAAGTTACATTTTTATTTTTGTTTATTAAAGAAGGTAGGGGGAGGGAATAAGAGAAAAGGGGTAAACGTTATATTTTTATTATTTTATTTTATTTTTGAGATGGAGTCTCTGTCGCCCAGACTGGAGTGCAGTGGTGCCATCTCGGCTCACTACAACCTCCACCTCCCGGATTCAAGTAACTCTCCTGGCCTCAGCCTACCGAGTAGCTGGGATTACAGGCATTCACTACCACGCCTGGCTAATTTTTGTATTTTTAGTAGAGACAGGCTTTCATCATGTTAGTCAGGCTGGTCTCCTGATCTGCCTACTTCAGCCTCCCAAAGTGTTGGGATTACAGGCATGAGCCACCAGGCCCAGCCATATTTTATTTTTTTTAGATGAGTCTCACCCTGTTGCCCAGGCTGGATCCCAAGTAGCTAGTATTACAGGCATCCACCACCACGCCCAGCTAATTTTTCTATTTTTTAGTAGAGACAGGGTTTCACCATGTTGGCCAGGCTGGTCTTGAACTCCTGATCTCGTGATCCACCTGCCTTAGCCTCCCAATGTGCAGGGATTACAGGCGTGAGCCACGACACTCTGCCAAAGGTTTTATATATATATATATATATATGTATATATATATATATATACACATATATACATATATATGTATACATATACGTATATATGTGTATGTGTGTATATATATATATATATATATATTTTTTTTTTTTTTTTTCTGAGATGGAGTTTCGCTCTTGTTACCTAGGCTAGAGTGCAATGGCGCGATCTGAGCTCACTGCAACCTCCGCCTCCTGGGTTCAGGCAATTCTCCTGCCTCAGCCTCCTGAGTAGCTGGGATTACAGGCACACGCCACCATGCCCAGCTAATTTTTTGTATTTTTTAGTAGAGACGGGGTTTCACCATGTTGACCAGGATGGTCTCAATCTCTTTACCTTGTGATCCACCCAGCTCAGCCTCCCAAAATGCTGGGATTACAGGCTTGAGCCACCGCACCCGGCCCAAAGGTTATATTTTTAAAATACAGTCCTTCTCTTTTAGTACTAAAATTGGGGTGACTTTATATGCTATGACAACCACTGCTTACTTTTGAAGCAGCTATGTTTTCTGCGGTACATACCCTGGGGTTCTTCATCTCGTGCCAGGAAAATTTAGGACTTGGACACACACGAAGAGTTTAGGAGCAGAAGCTAAACAGACAGAAGAGAATGAGAAACAGCTCACTGCACAGAGATCTCCCGGTCTCCCAGCGGAAAAGACTGGCAGGCAGTGGACGTGCCAAGTTTTATAGGCAGGTTTGAGGAGGCGGAGTCTCATTTACATAGGGCTTACGGATTGGTTCCACCAGGTATGACATTTAGATAGCAGGGGAAGGCCGACCGGCCCGGCCCTTACTATGCAAATGACCTCTCTCGTTGACCGGCGCCATCTTGTCTGCTCCTTACTGTACACCTGGCTGATAAAGAGCAGGGAAGGTGGGCCCGCCATCTTGAACATGCGTGGCACAACTGCCGGCATCTATGTGAGCAGCTGGATTTTACAGGCGGCCCTTTGTTAGAAAGGAAAATAATTTGGGCCTGCTGCCTTTTTTTTTTTTTTTTTTTTTTTTTTTAGTTGGAGTGCAGTGGCTGATCTCGACTCACTGCAACCTCCGCCTCCCAGGTTCAAGCAACTCTCCTGCCTCAGCCTCTCGTGGGGCTGCTTTTCATTAAAAGGAAAGCTTTACCAAGGCCTTCCCTATCTTCACTATCTGCCTAATAATTTCTTCTTAACTCTTGTATCATTTTGAAATGGGGAGAGAGAGATGGATAGAAGTATAAACGAAATAAAATTGTTCTGAGGATACAGGAAAAAACCTAAACAAAGTATCTCCCTATTTTCTCACTAAACACAGACACTTCAGTGACCAGATGCGTGGGAGCATCTCCCCATACCTAGCAAGCCGCAGAATTCAGCTCGATTCTGACACTGTCTACCTGAGAAACAGCTTCAGATGCCGCGGGTTGGAGGCTGAGTCCCACCGGACTTAAGGCGCCAATCGCAAGCCCCAGATTGCTTTGCTTGTGCTTCTGACGGACAGCTTTAAATCTGGGTTCCCAAAACCCCCTCTTTTTTTTTTTTTTAAGACGGAGTCTTTGCTTTTGTTGTCCCGGCTGGAGTGCAAATGATGCAATCTCGGCTCACTGCAACCTCTGCCTCCTGGGTTCAAGTGATTCTCCTGCCTCAGCTCCCCGAGTAGCTGGGATTACCGGTGTCTGCCACCACGCCCAGCTAATTTTTTTTGTGTTTTTAGTAGAGATGGGGTTTCACCATGTTGGCCACGCTGGTCTCAAATTCCCGACCTCAGGTGATCCACCTGCCTTGGCCTCCCAAAGTGCTGGGATTACAGGCATGAGCCACCATGCCTGGCCAATTTTTTGTATTTTTTTTTTTTCCCAAGGGCAATTCACATTTATTTCCTGATCATGCTGACTAAACATACTTCAAACATAGCAGAAGGTCAAGAGTCTGTTTTGAAGGTAAAGCCGTTTCTTGCCAACAGTGAACAGTGGTCCACGAAGAGTAACTTAAGTATCATCTTCAAGCTGAGGCTTCAGCTCTGGGCAAACAGCTGCTGGGTGGACCTGGTCCTTCTGGCCTGGATGGGGCCTCCAAGGAACTACTTGTCCTCATACTTGTGCTTGATGTGTTTCCACAGCTTCCCCTCGTTGATGTGGTCGTAGATGGCGTCTGCGCCTTGATCGAAGGCGCGCTCGAAGAACAGGACGCCCACAACGATGGTGAGGGCAAAGGTGGAAGTCCTGCGGAACAGCAGGGAGTAGACTTTCCCAGTCAACGTCTGGGCCGCCATGTTCCTTCACAGTCTATCTTGCGCCACTCAATTTTTTGTATTTTTAATAGAGATGGGTTTTGTCATGTTGGCCAGGATGGTTTCAAACTCCCGACCTTAAGTGATTCACCCACGTCAGGCTCCCGAAGTGCTGGGATTACAGGCGTGAGCCACCATGCCTGGCCCACAAATCTCTTTTCTGTCCAAAGTATGCAGCATTAGTTTCTTCAGCTTATAACCAATAATCTTGGTGAGGAGAACATGTTGGCATTATTGTGTGTTTATTGGTAGGACTGCACTGTTCTTTCTTTCTTTCTTTTTTTTCTTGAGACAGAGTCTTGCTGTCACCCAGGCTGGAGTGCAGTGGTGTGATCTCGGCTCACTGTGACTGCCACCTCCCAGGTTCAAGTGATGCTCTTGCCTCAGCCTCCCGAGTAGCTGGGACTACAGGTGTGTGCCGCAAGGCCTGGCTGATTTTTTGTATTTTTAGTAGAGATGGAGTTTCACTGTGTTAACCAGGATGGTCTTGATCTCTGGACCTTGTGATCTGCCCGCCTTGGCCTCCCAAAGTGCTGGGATTACAGGCTTGAGCCACCGTGCCTGGCCTAATTTTTGTATTTTTAGTAGAGACGGGGTTTCACTTTGTTGGCCAGGCTGATCTTGAACTCCTGAGCTAAAATGATCTACCCACCTTGGCCTCCCAAAGTGCTGGGATTACAGGCAGGAGCCACCGGGCCAAGCCAGAATTGCACTATTCTCTCGGTGCTGAGCTTTCCCCTTCTGCTGAATAGCAAAACACAAGGAGGGACGTGTGTGGGATGCAGCCCTCTTCTCTCCCTCATTCTCTCCCAGCTAGTGCTGCCACTGGAACAAGGCTCTCTCCTTCCCTGACTTTCCCACCAGTGGTAGAAGACAAGGACAGTGTCTATAATAAAAGCCTACTTTCTGCATTTCAGAGGCAGGATGGGGAGGGCTTCGGGCCAGAGGTTCTGCCTGATTTGCTTCCAACTCACAGAGGGCTCTGGGCAAGGCCCCAGGAGCGAGTGTTCATCTCTCTTTTTAACCAGGTCAGGCTTCCCTACTGAATTGTATCCCAGTTACCATCAGAGACCTGCCACCTAACCTACTGCTGACCACACCTTCCGTGACTTGAGGGGATGCCCAGAGGTCCAGGGCTTTCCAGGCTTGCACCTGGGGTGGGCCATGGCAGCCCTCAGTGTCCTGCCTCTGCCTGGTGGGTCAGGGCTCAAGGCAGCTCCTGTGGGTCAGGGCTGTGCTGAGCAGGTGTTGGAGGCTGAGAAGGGCCTGGGGAAGGGGGCTCCCCTCAGGCAGGGACAAGGTGAGGGAGGGTCAAGAGGGAAGGCTAGATGTTCCAGTTTGTCCTTAGAGGATCTGGTTCCTCAGGTCCTGGTTACCCTGTGAGTAGGGGAACAGGAATTGCTGGCTTGCAGGGAACAACATGCCTACAGGGAGTGCTGTCAGCTGCTCTTCACATTAGTGATAATCATCCTAATCAAAGCTGTCACCTACTGAGCACCTACTATGTGTCAGGCTGTTTGCCAGAGCTTTGCAGACATCATGAGTGATAGCTAAGCCTCGCAGCCACTCTGCAAGGCAGCTGCAGTCACCCTGCTCTAGAGATGAGGAATTGAGTCTCAGAGAGGTTAAGCAACTAGTGCAGGGTCACATGGTGTAGAGAGCAGGGCCTCCAGTGGGACCCAGGTTGGTCTGAACCACAAATGGAGAGTGATTGATTGCTCTGAAGGCTGCCTCTGTCATGACAGCCACCCAGGGTGTCCCTGGTTGTTGGCCTTCCCAGGACCCCCTCAGATAGGCCTTGCAGGCATCTTCCTTCTGTACCCAGCTCCACCCTAGTGGATCAGCTGAAAGTGGGCTCAAAGCTTAATCACACAATTACCTCAGCCATGGCTTCCCTGCAGCCTCTGAGGAGGCAGAGTTTTTCTTCTTTGCTGGGGGGTTTCTGCTGTCAAAAACCATCCCAGGGCTGGGCATGGTGGCTTACTTCTATAATCCCAGCACTTTGGGAAGCCAAGGTGGGAGGATCACTTCAGGTCAGGAGTTTGAGACCAGCCTGGCCAACGTGGTGAAACCTCTTCTTTACTAAAAACACAAAATTTAAGGGGACATGGTGGCAGGCACCTGTAATCCCAGCTACTTGGGAGGCTGAGTCAGGAGAATTGCTTGAACCTGGGAGGTGGAGGTTGCAGTGAGCCGAGATTGTGCCACTGTACTGCAGCCTGGGCAACAGAGAGAGACTCTGTCTCAAAAAAAAAAAAAAAAAAAAAAAAAAAAATTAGCCAGGCTTGGTGACATACACCTGGGATCCTAGCTACTCAGGAGGTTGAGGTGGGAGGATCATTTAAACCCAGGAGGCTGAGGCTACAGTAAGCCATGATCGTGCCACTGCACTCCAGGCTGGGTGACAGAGTGAGACCCTGTCTTCAAAAAGAAAAAAAACCCTCCTGGCATAGTCCCCTAAGCTGAGACCAGAGCTGGCTGGAGCCTCTTTGCCAGCAGCCAGTAGGCCTTTCCTTTACTGAAGACTGGTATATACCAGTCATATCCAGTTACCATCAGCAACCTGCCACCTAACCCACTGCTGACCATGGGAGCAGAGGCTTCTCTCACCTAAGGCTATTGCAATGAACTGAATGTTAGGGTCCCTTCAAAATCCATATGCTGAAATCTGAATCCCCAAGGTGATGGTGTCAGGTGGGGCCTTGGGAAGTGTTCAGGTCATAAGGATGGAGCCCTCATGACCTGATCAGGCCCACAGGCCTGATCATAGAAGAAGCCCCAGCAAACTAGCCTTTCTACCATGTGCAAACACAAGAAGGCACCATCTTCAAACAGAAAGTTGGCCCTCACCAGACACAGAATCTGCTAGCATCTTGATCTTGGACTTCCCAGCCTCCAGAACTAGGGAGAAATAAATTCCTATTGTTCATAAGCAACCCAGTCTATGGAATTTGGTTGTAGCAGCCTAAACAGTCTAAGCCAGCTGTGCTCTTGCCATATCCTGTGGACTTACAGCAACTGTCACTTACTTTTCACACACTCCTATGAGGTATCTTTTCAATTTTTCGTATGAGGAAATTTTACACAATAGCAACAGTAGCAAATGACTTCTCAGAGTAAAATAAGTTTACTTGGTGGCCAGAGCCATGTAAGATTAATACCAGCTTGTACTGGAAAATGGCAGCTGTTAAGAAGCCTTGAACATCTTCAGCAAAATGAGGAGGCTCACCCTGACCAGTTTGGGAACAAAGAGCTTTGGAGCCAAAGGGAGCAGGTTTGAGTCCCAGGATAGCCACTTTTCTTGGCTTCATTACCTCAGACAAGTTACAAAGCCTTGCTGAACCTTAGTTTCCTCAGTAATGCCCCCCTGCGATGACCACATCTGCCCGGCATATAGTCATTGTTTCATAAGTGGCACCTAGTACCGTTACTGTTCACCCAGAGCTGGATTACCTGGGTCCTCTGCAGTGTGAATTATAGTGTGATGGGATTGGAGCTAAGGCTGGTCACTGATAGGTGAGATTCTAGAACATATAAGGCTTTTTTAGTGCACCCTTTCTCCATGCTCCCTGTCCTGTTTAGCAGACCCCCAACATTGTCATGGGTCCACGTCCTTAACTTTTTTTTTTTTTGAGAAACAATCTTGCACTGTCACCTGAGCTGGAGTGCAATGGCTCAATCTTGGCTCACTGCAACCTCCGCCTCCTGGGTTCAAGTGATTCTCCTGCCTCAACCTCCCAAGTAGCTGGGATTACAGGCACCTACCACCACACCCAGCAATTTTTTTGTGTTTTTAGTAGAGACGGGGTTTCGCTATGTTGGTCAGGCTGGTCTCGAACAACTGACCTCGTGATCCACCCACCTCGGCCTCCCAAAGTTCTTGGATTACAGGCGTGAGCCGCCGCGCCCAGCCCCATGTCCTGAATTTTTAACGTTTTTAATTTATCAAAGTATACTTGACATGTGTCCTAGTCCTCAGGTCTTTAGGCCTAATGACTAGTCAGATTGAGGCAGAAACTATCCCCTTATGCCCCCACGTTTATTTTCTGCATTAACATGACTTTTTTCTTCAGTTGTCTTTGCTACAATAACTTACTATTCCAAGAGATTCTTCCCCAGGCAAATAACCTGATTGTTTATTACAGGAACTTCCCAAGAGGCCCATCAATTCTTTAACAGATGAGTTTCATTTAACAGAAGCATCAACAGACATTTCACATCTAAGACACTTCAAACTCCTTGCCTAGTTGTTTCTGCCTGAAACTGCTGTTTCATGATCTCCCCCGATCCCAAGCAAGCCCCTGCGTTGACACGCCCTCCTTAAACCAATCTTGACATTCTCAGTGAGATCCCAGGCTCTCCACTTCCCCTGGCAACGGCAATGGAGGCTCTTGGAGGGGCTATTCTCTCTCTTCCATAAGTAATGAACTCAGCTCTGCCTGCCACCATCTTCCCCAGAACAGAAATTCTGGTGCACTCCTTCCAGAAAGCGCGTTTGGTGCGACTGACTCAATCTGAGTCAGGAGGGGAGGGGAGGCCTCAGAGCCAGGTTGACTCTGGGTGTCCTTTCCATCCTTCTGTGTGTGTAGAGCTGGTCCCACTGTGGGGACCATGGGTGGAGGGCCTTGTGCGCAGAGCCCCTTGAGACCATCCTTGCTGCACACATTTCAGGCCTGGGAATTTCTCTGCACACACAGAGCCCTTCATGGTCAGTCTGCTGGAGGTACTGTTATTCCCGGTTTTAGCCTCTAAGACATGAAAGCTTTCCACTCCCATTTCACTTGTAGATTGCAGGATATTTGCATATTTAATGCTTGGGTCTCTCCTTCAAACCAGAGAAAAGAATGATTTTGAGAAAAGAATAATTGAATTTATGTACCTGTAGTAGTCTGTAGAGCCAGCTGCCCAGTAGCTAGGCCACACACAGTGGGCCACGTGGCAGGGTCCCAGGTAGGGAAATTGCCTCTCAATGATAGAGATGGGAAGGCCTGTGAAGGAGAACG